AAAGCACCATTTTATTTTGAGTGGGTATTCATGCATGTTTTTTGGTTCAACTCTTTCCCCATGATGCTGAGAGAAACGGCCGCATCCATGGGTCGATGTTCACTGAAAGTTGAAACCAGCTCCCAGCATGTTCCCAACCTGCATTGCCAACATTGAGGCATGGACGCCTTCGCCAACATCGCCGACCAGGGCTTTCAAAGCCTTGCCAGAACCTGGCATGTGTCCCGGTGAAATTGATGTCAATGGAATATAGGGGAATGAGGATGATGGGGTAGAGCAATAAGAACAACTGATGTTTTTTTTTCTCCATCTGCCATCATTTGGAAGCGCTTCCCACGCAAAAGCCATGGATCAATTGGCGATTCCACGGCGCTGCTGAAACATGTAACCCTTATCTACTGGGAACCAACAGGTCAAACACGGCATCAGCATGGAGAAAAGATTTTAGTCACCATGTGTTGCAAAAAGTTAGTGAAGAGTTGGTTGTGTCAACCATGTTTGACTCCGTTTGGGCCCAACCCCATTTCAGGATTGATTCAACCCAGATGCTGTCAAAACAACATCGGCTGCTTCAAAGTGATCAAATGATTATTCCTCGCATTGAAACTGCCCTGATCAGTCAGCAAGGTTCAAAATTCACTTTTTGGGTTTCTTTCCACATCCATCAGCCGTAGACGCACGAGAGCGCTTCTTGGGCTTGGTCACTGTGTCAGGATCCTTCTCTCCGTTCCCAGACTTGTCCTTCTTCGCCTTTTTCTCCTTGGGTTTTTTGGAGCGGCCTTCGTCATCTTTCTTCTCGTACTTCTTGAGATTCCTCATCCAAATGTTAGACAAACAACCTAGTCAGTTCTGATTTCGAATCATGATTGAGCTAAGGTGGTGACCGGAGCTTCGCTTCTGCAGCGCAGGCAGCAGAACACCTGGGACGGTTGGGCATGGTTCTGAAAACATTGCATTTTATGGAATCAAGTAGGGGCATGTGCACCATGGTGACATGGTGCTGATATGGCATAAGCAGTTGAATAGACACTGTGATGCATAAGTTCCCAGCGCATAGGTGGCATCGTTCATGCCTGTTGTTGCCTCATTCACAAACCTCAGCAGCGGAATGTTTATTTTAACACTTGGCTAACTTGCTAGTCTGACATGCAGCTATCAAAGATATGTTCAAATCAATATTCTTGAAACCTAGAAACTCGGGAGGAAATCCATTGATTTCTCCTTTGGCCAAGACTTTGTTGCACTTCTCATGGTGGTTGTCCAGTTCCACCAGAAGCTGCTCCAGCTTTGTAGACTCCCTGCATGGAAAAAATGTGCTGTTGAAATGGGAATGACAAGATTGTCAATTGAAAACCATTTACATGCATGTGCCTAAATTACATAAGTTATCAGTGGAATGCCTCTGCATGACAGTGCTGCTCGCATAGTCAGCCCGGATGTCCCTGATGAGAGCTCGGCACTTCCCAGATTTCTGAATGATCGAGTCCAAGAACTTTTGAAGTCGCTTCTTCATCTGGGAGCCCGCTAGGGATTTGGGTGGATTTATATAGTTACTCAGTCATTCATGATCCATAGGATTACAAGTATCAAACCAGTTCATATTTGATTGCAATAACTTTTTGAACCTGCCTCAGTGGATTGGCTTTCAGATCCCCCAGTCGGCATAGTGCTTTCAGCAGCCAAGCGATCTTTCAGGCAATCCAAGCCTTTGAAGGCATCCGCTGCCAAGGTGGGCTTCTGGGAATCCTGTCCAGGAGCATTGATGGACAGAAACCGGTTTGAGGGTGGTTCCAATTGATGGGTAAACAGTAAACAAACAAAAACACACTTTGTGAATGACTTGGATGTTTGAAGTGATCATCTGTTTAAAGGATGTGATCAGTCTGGGTCATTTGAGTGCATAAGCAACTGTGGTCCTCAAGTTTTTCCCTGCTTCTTTTGACCTCCTCCTGCTCCTCCTTTTCTTCCCTTTTCCCTTTTTCGCGAACATCAACATAGAACTCTTCGACGCCATCGTATTGGTTTTTCCTGCCATTGTGGTTGAATACAGTGGTAATGATTGGTATTTGCCAATGAGAAAACAATGACATTACCTCCACCCCAAGAAAATATCGTAGTGCAGGGCGCACCGGATGTGCGTAGTCTTCTTGGCCTCACATGCCTTCTTTGCTCCATTGATGCGAGACCTCAGATGCAAGGGCAAGACTCATGCGAAGAGCTGTGAATATAGCTATCATGCATGTCATCACTCCAAGAAATATAGAAGAGTTCAATACTTATTGTCTGAAACAGTTAAAACCGTTTGAGCCAAAATGCGTGGTCCACTTCAGTTCATCCCGCATCTCCTTTTCACTCACCCACTGGGATTCCACGGTGATGCTCTGAGAAGAAGAGCGTTTGACGATCACCTCGAGGTCGCTCACAAACTTCTCCTGCAATCATGGGGTTTGAAAACCAATGGAAGGATAGGTATAGCGAATTACAGCATAAGGTATATAGGTATATGGTATATGACTGTTTCACTAAATACAAGTATTTTCCAGTAAATCTTCAAATGATCAATGTTTGAACCACAAACACCTGTCCTTATCGAAATTGCAGTCCATCAACAATTTCGCAGTCTCCGCTTTGGGGCGTTTCTGAAATTCTGCAATGACCCATTGTGGGGCATTCAAGCCCACCCGCTTCTTCTTCAATGTGCAAAAGCGACGAACCTGCGCCTTTGCAGCTTCTTCCAACTTTTCCTGGCGAGGGGTGAAAGTGCAATGCCTCACATGTTGAGGCCGTCAAAATGGTGATGAATGGACATCGTGATCTCCATATCCAAGGCACCTGACGGGTCCGTTGGGTTTTTTGGGGTTGCTGGTCTCCACCATCATCAGAACTCAGAGGCTTCGAAGAGGTCGACTGGTCCTCCAATGTAGCAGGGGAACATCAGGTCAATTTAGATGCATTGCATTTCTAAATCTTAACACGTCTTGTTCAAAAAGTTTCAAAAGATCGAAATTGAAACAACTTTTCAATTTTTTCTCCTTGTCATTTTTCTCAGAAGGTTTGGTACCCATAGGCTTCACAGCAGGGGCTTCTTCCACTGGAGTACTAGGCACAGGTACATTTCCGTTTGGAGTCGCTGCAAAAATTTCAGCTGGAGTTTCAGGAACCGAAAGAGCAGGAGTCGTTACCCCCTGGGAAGGTGTAGAAGGTAAGGACTTTGCAGCACCCTTCGAAGCACTCTCCACTGGATGTCCAGCAGCCAGAAGTTGAGATTCGGTGGCCTGGGCCGATAGGTTGTGCCAGAATAGATGCACCAGCAAAAATGTAGTCACAACGTTCATCTATAACTATAACCAAGTCATTACCCATCAGTCGACTGCCGCCCGTGTCCATTCAGGCCTCCAAAGTATCCATGGACTCTGCGCTGGGAGACGTAGAAGCCTGGGCAGGGATGTGGTGTTCATAAGCTCACTTGCTTGGGAAATAAAAGACCATCAAAACTGGAAAGTCAAACAAAAACTGAATTCAGATAATACCATCTTGACTTGTATGATTCTGAAAGTTGAACCAAAGGACTGGAGTGGTCGTTGAAACTTCAGGTTGTGGGTCTGGCACCAGTGGATCGATGATCTTCTTAGCTTCCAAATCCTCCAAGGGAGCTGCATGAGAAACGATTACATAAGAGGCCACAACATCCTTGGCATATATAATGACTATAGTTCTTTCATACTAATGAGTTATGCTGTCTTGTCCTCGATAAGTTTTTGCAGCTCGATTTCTTCATCGTATACTCTGTTGGCTTCATCCATCAGCGCGTCAATGCCATCAACAAGGCTGTGGCAACTCCAAACACGGCTGGTAGTATCCAGCGACATCACAAAGGATGCAGATGTGAAACGTGTGAGACAGCCAAATGCTACAATGCACAATGAGGTTAGATCTTAGGTGGTATCGAACATTATTGAACGCTAGAAATATTTTGAGCAGCAATCATAGCTGACAAAACCGTGTTTTTGTCCTCAAAGCTTGCAAGTCACGATCCCCGAGTTGAAAAACTCGCGTTAATTGCAGGCAGGAAATATGGCCAAAAACCAGTATTTTTCCTACGGGTTACTACGGGGTAAATACGGGTTTTCTACGGGTTAAATACGGGTTGTGCAAAACCTGTTTTTTTTTGGAGCTGGTGCAAATACGGGTTTTCTACGGGTTAAATACGGGTTAATACGGGATAAATACGGGTTCCAAGCAGTTCCTATATATTTGGGCCCAAAAAACTGATAAATTTCACCATTTTGAGGTAAAAGTTCATTATGTACCCCAAAAGTCTATGAAAAATGGATCCAAATTGTCGGAAACCATGCTGTTTTCTGGACTCACATGGGTTTTGGAACCAAGTCCTGCCAATGCTCTGGAATGTTCAAGTGCCGATTTCGGCGAAGATAATTAAAGACTTCACTAATCCCCCCGAACATCAGACAATCTGATTCATCTGGCATTTCCATGAATGAGGCCATCGCACCCGGAAGATTCTCCGGAAAAGGTGCGCAGCCCCGAGAACTCGTGGTCATCTTCACGTACATGTCGACCAACTTCCAGCCAAAGCCCACTGGGTATTCCCTAGGCGCAAGGATTGGAACAATTCGAAAAATTGCAAAGCATTTGGAATCCAAATCCCATTTAAAATTTCATTTGAAATTCAAATCCCAATTGGACTTGACGACCTCAAGACAAGGTATATATACCCCCTTAGTTCGGATAAGGTTCTCAGTTTTCCGAAGATTCTTGGTGCCTTTGAAGCACGGTTTCCCTTCCTTATTTGTATATTGCTCACAAGTTTTGATCTTCAGTTGGTTGTCCGACTCATCCAGTTTCCGCTTCGGCCGGGGCCGAGTGTTCAAATCACAGATCGCATCGGTGTTAGCCCAGGCATAATGGGGCTTCGGCGAGAAGCCACCGTAGGCCTCCATGTACCACTTGGCACGTGCTACCTGGGCATGGGGTCAAGTCGTAAGGCAAACTGGATTGGCAATTCCTGTTTTGACAATTTCGTATTCAACCCAAAGATAAGATTGTTGGCTCTTAATGATTTCTACATGCACAATTTATTTCCACTGCACACCTCCCATCAATCTAGATTAGTCACACTGGTTTTGCCATGTGCCATGAACATGTTCGCAATCATGGTCAGAAAAGGTGGGAAAAACTCTAGGACGGAGTTCTCAGGTTGCTCCAGCATCCAAGTCCCTCCCAGGGCCGTAGTCAACATGATAAGCAAACATGTCCTGAGTTTCATGCATGTACCCGCATGCGCCGAGATTGAAATTGTTTCGATCTGGAAAATTCCACCAAGTCAAAAAATAAATCATTGGAATGAACCATGCAGAGAATTACTTTCATCAGTCAACCCTTTATTGGTGGTGATCTTTTGGGGTACACATGATAAAGTTCTTTGATTTATAGGATTTGGCAAGGATCCGACATGCCATCTTGTTGGAGCTGTCAACGCTAGGGTACCCCTGGTTTCCAATGCTTGCACATGGGGCCCTACCAGAAGTACCTTGGTTAATTGCACTCCAACTGGCACATTTGATGGCATAGGCAGCGAAGAAAGGCGAAGTGGTGCAGATCAAAGCGTGGATGCACAACCTAGGCAAACGGTGGTTGGAAGGGGGTAGCTGGATCTCTATTCCAATTTCGAAAATACAATTGCGATATATGGAAATGGAACCCCATGAAACTATGTATTAACTTGTATAAAGCCATCATTAGATCCCCCTACCTTAATCAATCTTCTTTGGGTAGTACCCTTTGCAATATTACCATCTGCAAACAGCCCACACACACCGAATATAATTTGAATCAAATTACGCAAATCCAGAGGGAGAGTTTATATCCATGAAGTTGGTGTTGTGCTCCGGCTTTCTGCCTTCCTCATAGAGGATGTCAAAGGAAGCCGTTTTGAATCCGGATGCCTTCATGCACTTCGATAGGTTCGCCTTGCCGGCGAAGAACTCCAGCATTTGATATGCCTGGCAATGAAGTTGGTTTTTCATGTCCTCTACTTATTTACATTGTGTGATAGAAATACTGTAGTAGATTTCAATCAAAAAACATCCGGTCCTATGATCCAGAAAGACCACTACTCAGGAGTACAGCATATAATTGTATGAATTTGTAATTGCAATTACATGGCGTCTTTTACATCCATGGTGTCTTTTACAACCCACTGATCAAAACCCAAAGATTTCAAGAATCAAAACCCCAACATGTCCATGGAGGAAGATACCATATTCCTGGGGACTCTCGGCTCTCCTCTCCGCAGGAAAAGCTGGGCGTCCACATCACCAAGAGAATGCAAAGGGCAAAGACCTCAGCATCAACTGCGGGGGTGAACTTAGTTTAAGGTCAGGTTTACAAAGTTTGATGCTGCATCTCTGCAAGTCCATATTTGATTTGTATAAGAGTTGTAAAGCCGCATGAAGTTTTGAGAACCTGACCTTGGGGCATCGCAAAGATTTCAATTGGAAAAAAACTTCATCCAATCTTCGGGATTCCTTCGGAACATCCATGGCGTGAGCCTAAAGGGAATCAGCACACTGAATTTGATCCTGGACAAGCTGCAACCACAACTTGGTGACCCGAGTCCTTCCCATGCAAATTCAGCTGTTGCAATCACTTGGAATTGACGGCAAATGATGTAAAGTCAAAAGAATGAAATTCACAAGGGGGATTGATTGAACTGATCGCAATCGAGCCAGCCCCACGCTTGTTAGTTTTGTTGAACTTGGCCCGCACCTTCCAGATGTTACCCCGAAGGCCTGGCATTGGCGCCTCCACATCGCAAGCCTGCAGGACAGAGCCATGAGCAGGGAGATGTGTTGTGGGAAAAGGGGAGTACTGTAGTGAAAAAATATTTGCTTTTCAGATTCTATAATTTCTCTCACTTATCGTGCATATGGTCAGTATAGCATATCATCAAACTGACTTAATTATCCTCGATTTCCACCAATGAGTTGAGCTGCTCAACTGCAGTCATTTGTCCACAGCTTTTCTCGGAGGGCGTCGAAGGCAAATTTCATTGCCGCAGGTTTAAAGCCAAGATATGTACTGGCTCACACTGCCACTGCAATCCATGGCCACCAGACCCCAAGATAAACCATAAATAAATCAGTCAGAGTTAAATAGATGATGATAAAACCGGTATGAAAAATACATGACTCACTATGACATTCTGAAGTTGAAACAGATTGGTATCTTTATGAAACTCGATCATTCTATCAAATGTGGTGCACGGTTCAATTGCGTCTGGGCAGTGGTCAGAGCTCTCACATATACCCACATCAAAAGGTTATATCCCAACGAAGTCTTGGGTTTGAAACTTTTCAGTCTGAGCCACTTGGCATGTTAGCCAAAAGAAAGATCGCAATGCTGGCGTTGTGTTTGATCTCAGTCACCAGGGTGCCATCCAGCGCACTTGGGTCATCCTTGTCAAATGCAGATGCCTTGGATGGGCTGGACAGTTTCTCGTGAACACATCCGTTTAGGGTACATTGTGTGATGTACAAATCATAGATTTTTGTTGGCACGTGCACATGCAACTGGATTGAGCATTCACATCATGTATGAGAAGTCAAAATCAATGTTGCAAAGTTGCTGCTCGCATCCCACAATTCAGGGCCACCCCAATCTTGTGGACATCACATGCTGACGAAGTGTTGAAGCTGAAAGTGGCGACATCTTTCGAAGTCTCCAAGCAAGTCACCCCCACACAGGTTCTGGTCCAGTAGATGTTTAACCTGACTGATTCATACTTTGGGACATGGGAACGGGCAACTTCTTTGAAAGCTTTACTTGTCACTTCCATGGTTGTGTCAAAGCTTCTGGCGAATTTCTCCATCCCTTCGGCCATCTCTACATTGAACAGGTCGGACTTCTTCTGACTCTCCAAGAAATCGTCTCCAGGTTGTTTCTTTGATCTCCCTCTGGCCTTGGCCTTTGCCTTGCTTTCTGCCTTCGGTGCCGCCTTTCTCTTGGGTGCACACTTTGGCTTTGCTGCAGCCTTACCCTTGGGTGCATTAAGTTTGCTCTTAGGTTCGGCCTTGCGCTTGGCACTGGCCTTGCATTTGGCTTTCGCCTTTGGCATCTTTTCATCAGGGCTTTGTCCCGAGGGAGCTGGGCATGCTGAAGCACCCTGGGGATCTGTGTTTGTTTTCTTTCCATCCTTGGAACCTGAACTTCCCACACTACGTCTTTTTTTCTGTGCTGGTTCAACATGAATTTCCTTTGCTTTCTCTGCTTTCTCCAAAATTTTCCTCTTGGCACTGACTTTCTTTTTCTTTCCATTCCTTTTGGAACGTCTGCTCTTTTTTTTTTGTGTGAAACTTTGCCATCTGCCTTTGTTCTGCTACCCTTGGTGGCATTTTTCAGTCGAAGCTGTTGGTCTCGGGTCACTGGGGTGATGTCATCATCATTCACAGCTGTCTTACTTCCCGTCCTCTCCTCATCCATAGATTTCTTGACCTTGGTCACTTTTTTCTCAACGTGGCCCTCATCCGTCTTGTCGTCCTGGGCTGGTTGAGCTTTGGGATGGATTTGGATAATTTATGCATGACTATAGTCATAAACATTTTGTTCTTTGATGCGCAGTTGTTGACACGGAAGTGAATGAATATATCCAAATGTTATTTGTTCCATGTTGGCTTCGAAAACATGGTCGCGGCTGAGAAAGAAATATCCTGCGTTGAATCCTTGTATTTCGATGGACTACCCATGTTGGAAACCCATTGTATGAAATTTACACCAAGCTGCATGTTTTGCACAGTTGGCCGTGGAAGGAACATCAGCTGGAGCAGTACGCTGGAACTTCTGTCGGAGTTGCTTGGTAGAAACATCAGGGGATGATGTTGGTGGCAAAGAATCTGGAGGGACAAGGCCCATAACATCGACTGGCTGAGTTTCCACAGCATCGGGAGCCAGTTCGCCAATCTTCGCCTTGCCAGTAGAAGATCTACCTGCAATATTTTGTGTTTGCAGTGGTATGGAAAAGAAGGATTGGGAAACACTTTCAATTTCAACTTCTGTTTGGGCCAATCAAAGTGATGCTTGGGAAGCTGACCTGATATCATGCATTCACTTCACATCAAAAATCGAGTTGAATGAACCTTCAAAGACCTCTGAAAGTATAGTATCAAAGTTGCGACATTTTGTTGTGAATTATGGGATTTGATATAAACTTTCATCAAAAGCTAGCATCCTACAAATCCCCTTACTGTCCCCTTTTGGATGGGCTCCCCCTTCCTAAAAATAAGCTGGCCTTCAGACGGCACAGCATCCTCAGATTTCATCTTCTGAATGGCCAATGTCAACGCAGCTTTGCGCTCACGGATCCTTGGATGGGCCACACTTGACATGAGAGAGTTTCAGCTGAAAGTTTGCAGAGAGAATGATTCCGCTGGGCATGTTGCACAAAGACTCCCTTGACATGGCATGGCAGTAGAGATTATGAGATTGAATTGAAACATGTAGTAAACTAATCTAAGTGGCTCTGCCAAACGCATCTTTGCTTTCTCCAAATCACTATTGACTGTAGGAAGGGTGCCATCACACACTGCAGGCTGATCGCCTGCAAACATGACTTGTGTAAGCCATGGATCAAGTTAATGTTCATACATGCATGCATGAGCATGCATGGCTCATTCACTGATGGTGACATGATGGGAAGTTTTTGTTTATTGCCATTCATAAACCTCCTTGTTCAGCTGAGCCCGAGGCGAAGGTGCTCTTCAGCAGAAGCGGTGTGAGAAGGACCCGGAAGTGTTTGGGATCCTGGGCTGGCAGCCGGGACCACATCCGAGGGAACAACTTTGCCATCTGCAGGGATTGACAGCAGCGGGATGTCCATTCCATTGATTTCACCATGCTCGATCTCTTCGTCTTCAGTAGTTGAATCGCTATCATCACTGCCAATGTCACTTGAATCATAGGCATCGTCATCTTCTTCCTTCTCTTCCTGGAATGTTTGATTCAATCTTTGATGCAACATATGTTCTAATCAGACTTGTCTACAGCCATTGAAAGAAAGTATACTGATTATATATTGTGAGACAAGGGGTTCCCATTGGGCAGCCCTTCAGTGTGCCTCTGTGCTGCCTGCTTTCTTTTCGGCAAGTTTTCGGTTGATCTCTTCACAGGTCTCCTAATGCAGTTTCCCAATGAGTAATTCTAAGCCCCCCTTTTATCATGAATATATGATACATGATCTGATAAAACGATATAACATGTTATGGCTAGTAGCTTATCTACAAGTGGAAACATCTTGACATTAGAAAGGACCCTCTGTCCTCGAGGGTTGGGTTGAGGATGCAACAAAGCTTCTGGAAATTCCGCTTCTTAGTTGGCTCAGCCAATGCAATTTGTGTCAACTGATTTGCCACACCTGGCGAAATTCAAACATACAAATCTGTTTGTTTTCAAACTTGAGATGAGGCGCTGTGGAAACTAGGCTCTTCTTTGCTTTGTTCTTCACAAGGCTGAAAAGTTTTCTGATGTACCAGCTGTCTTTAATGACCTCAGATTCAATGGGTTCCCTGGAGACCTTCTTGTAGAGCAAGTCAAGCTGCCCCCTCAAAGGGCCAACTGGCGGCTGCGGTTGCGTAGGAACACCCGCAGATCGAAGCAAGGTTTTTTCCAAAATGGAAAAAATGTATGGCTTTGCAGCATCAGCAACACATACGTTGATATTTTCATGAAACAAAGGTTCCTTCGGGTTCTCCCTCAAGTATTCCCGAATGCTATCACATTGGTCCCACTCCTTTGCCAAGTCCTTCACCGAGACCTTAGGCTTTTTTGCCTTCCTCTCAACCACCATGGCTTCAATTCGCGAAGCCGTTTGATGCAAAATTGCTTCGTATCCAGAGAATCCATTCAATCTTAGTTTTACTCTCCACTGATCCAATGAACCCTGTCACTCCCAATCTTCTTCCACACGTGTTTCCCCCAGGACCGCGCCTGAGAAATCTCGCCAGCTGGAAAAGAGCCATTGCCCGATCGAGCCGGAGGAATGTTGATGTAAGAGAGGTTCAATATTTTGAAGGTGGGCCCCTATCATATATTGGATAGATTCATATGTGTTTGGATAACCCCACGAAATCTATATATCTTAAGTAGCAATGAACCATGATCCAAAACACTAACGAATAAGATTAGGCTGTTCCCCAAAATTACATCAAGCATCCTTAGCCATCATCAACCATGCACATTTGATTTATCCATGCCTCACATGCCATGCCTCATATGCCATGGTGTTTCCACTTGATCCATCTTGGACCTGAAGGCGCCCCGTGGGCAATTGGATCCCTATATGTTTGGGTATTAAATTATATGATTATATGCCAATGATATCATGGAGTGAAGGGTACAACATGATGCAACAACATAGCATGGTATATCATGAAGTGGGATTCTATAGTATACCATGGAATAACTCTAGGTGCAAATAGCGGTTCTTGGTAAAAACCAGGTTTTTCAGTGGACTATCGGTGAAAACCAGGTTCTCAGCTTCCGACCATCATTTTTATAGGTTCTTGAAGATTAAGGTATATATATATATATATTATATATATAATATATAATTATAATTAATTATATATATATTATATATATACCACATATTTCCACATGATATGCCCACAAAGATCCACAAAAGACCTTTTCGTTATTTAGCATCGCTTTATATACATGATTTAGGAGATTTACCGTTCTCAAAAATTGTAATTTTCCAGTTTGCTATGTTAAATGCCCAGTAGTTAGCTTAATGTAAGTTACACTCGCAGCTGACACCAAATTTATGTGAATAATCTAATCCCCTGATCTCTGTTTTTTTTCTCCGACTATGCGCACCACAAAGAATGGCCAGAATCTGACATCGACAAAATAAATTTGTACTAGTAACTAATGTAGTAAAGCCATGTAAAGCCTCATTATAAACATTTGTTCATTTAAGCCATGTAAAGCCTCATTATAACCCTTTTTTCATTTGGCGATGTTTCAAATCCCATTGGAAAAAACTTGAACAAAAAATGGGATGGTTAATTTAATTAATGGCATTAGGTCACAAAAAAATGGCGAAACGGTGGCCTCCCTCGCGTCGTGGTTTTTCGCGCTGGGCCTGTTGCAAGCGTCGCGAAAGATGCCCAAGGCCTGTGCCGCACAATACACGAAGCATTTGGGGGTCATGGTTCGTCATCCCATATCATCCCATATCATCCCATATGTAAGGCTATCCCCAAAAAGAAGCCCCAATTGGGGATAGCTTATGAAGTTCATTTTCCGGGACCGCCCATAAACCCAAACGTACAGGGGCCTCACCAGGTACAGGAGACTCTTCACAAAGGGTTTAGCATCGCTCCAAAAACATCGGCGATGAGTTTGGCTGATTTCTTTTGGGGAAAATCCAAAAAACTCCGCCAGTTCATCGTCATTCTCACATATTTCATATTACAATTAACATTGCCAATCTGCGGGTGTACCCCGTTCAGACACACCCTGATGGATTTGGATGGATTCGGCTAGTTCTTGGTATTTGGGGAGTGCATGGGATACACACACATATTATATATATATATATTCATATTATGATTGTGTACAGTGTTGTTCCCATATATTTCTAGAGGCAACATTCCCATATTCAGAAAATCTTCGCATACCATGTTTTCATCGTACTCCAGACCTGGGTTTTGGTATGTTACTTTGATAGGCATTTCAGCTCAATCTGGAGGGAACAGTTGGGCCACGGCGAATCCACTGAATGCCCCTCCACAGCTTTCTATCCCCTATGTCGTTCCAAAGCAGCTGTGGACGTTGAATGAATTGAAGGCTGCTTTGATAAGGAAGTTTCTTCATTTGTCTACCGAAGAAGGACAGGGTTGTCAAGGGTAACGTTTTTAAAGGTTGGCTGAGTAGAAATTAGAAAGTTTCTTCCCCGGGGCCTCACCCAAGGTGAACTCGGAAAAATAGAACCCACTGGTGTGCCCCTGGAAGTTTGGGCTGGCTTTGGGATTGGAATTTTGGTTCTGGCCCCGAAATTTCCCTATGTGGTCTCTATACCAGCCACGCATACTCGGAATTCTTCGCATTCCACAAATTCTTCGCACTCCAGCGAGGGCATCGCACTCCACAGCTAGGGACGTGCACATACTATAAAATCCACGCACTCTGCAAGATCTTCGCACTCCATAAAATCTTCGTACTCGGTGATTTTTCGTTTTTTTGCGTTTTTTTTTCTTTTTTTTTTGTTTCGTTTTTTTTTTGGCTAAAATCGCCTGGAATCACGTTTTCTGGAATATGGGCAAGGTAGCGGTTTCGCGTGAGACGTCTGTAGTTTCACATACTATCGCATTCCAGGCCATTTTGGCCAAAAATGACCCCCCCCAAAAAAAAGAAAAAAAAACCTCAGCAGGGTGAAATGTGATAATTTTCTGGTATATGATGGAAAAAACTGGTGTTGGATCCATGGGGAAGGTCGAAGGAGGCCACGCATACTGTTTTATTTTCGCATTCCAGAAAATTAGCACACTCCAGGGGTGGCATCGTACTCTATCGGTGGAATTAGTTTGCACGGAAGAAAACAGGATCGTCGATGATTTGTGTTCCGAGATCCTATTGTGCAGGGCTCTTTGCGGGGCCACAAAGATGTCAAGAAAGATGGGGATGGCGCTGCTGGTGAAAGGCCAGCCAAGCGTGCCAGAACATAAGCTTAAAGCTTATGAATTGGGTTTTGAGATCCTGAAAAGTACAAATTCCCATAAGAACATTATTAATCCATTTTTGGAAAGCTCAACATTACTAATTATGACATTTCCAGAAATTGTTGAAAGTAAGGATCTTCTTTGCGGAAGAACATGTGCAGTCGACAACGTACGTGCCAGAAGAAAAGGAGTACTTGGCAAACTGTATGAAATACAAATTTCACCTGAAAGGGGTCTTCGCAATTCCCTGAAATTTCCCAGCTATTTTGGCATGGAATATGTTCGGCCCTGGAATATGGGCAAGAAATTGCTAGAATATTCTCATACACTCAACATATATGCATTGCATATGTGTATTTATGCATGTAAACATGCATGTACACATGCATATACAATATACATATAAATTACATTAACAAGCATACAAATGTTTATATTACGTTGCATATTGACATAAACTATGCTTGCATGCATGCATACATACATACATACATACACACACACATATATAATCATATATATATATTACATACATACAGACATACAGACATACATACATACATACACACACAGAGATACATACACACACACAGACATACATACATACACACACACAGATACATACACACATACATACATACACACAGACATACATACATGCATACATACATACATACATACATGCATACATACATACATACATGCATACATATATATTTGTATGTTTACATATGTGCACATAGAAATGGGTTCACTTCGTTAATGATATAAATATACCTTGCTTTATTTACATATTTATTTGCATTTATTTGCACATTTATATTTATATATGTGCACTTTCTACATTCTGCACCCATCTCTGTTTAGATGTATTGAAATTATCCCAGGCAACAAATGTCTAGCTATACAAATACGTCAAATTCCTCAAGTCAAGAATATACATATATAATCATATATATATATACGCACACACACATATATATATATTATATATATATTTATTATTTATATATATATATTATATATTATATATATATATATACATATATATATATACATATATATATACATATATATATATATATATACATATCCTACCAGCTGAATGTTGGATTTCTGTTGCAGGGTATCTTACCTTACTGAGAAAACTGACGAGCCCTCGACCTCCTGAGATTCGCTTAGCCCTTGCCAGTGGAAGGCGCATGGCGACGCGACCCAATGGCCATGTTGATCCATGTTGAGCATATGGATGTTGAGTATATGATCCCATGATCCCATTCAAAATACCATATTTTGGGATGTTGATAAGTTGATACATCAAATAGACTGGGATGCCATATTTTGAATGTGTTCCTCACCATTTGCAAACCCTAGCCTAGAGACTGGCAACCCGGACCTTTTGGTTGAAACCCTTTTATTTTTGACGAAAACCAACTTCTGTGTATTTTTTGTTTGGTTTTGGGGCCTGATATGGAACCCAAATTTCGCCTTCCAGAAATCAAAGTGCTTAGACCAGCGGAGCGGAGAAAAGTGCGCCGAATTAGGGGACTCAACTGCTGATCCTTGGTGATTAAACTCAACTATGGAGGATAGAAAGATCGGAACAACTGCATTTTTTAAGGATTTTTTTAAAGAAGCAACAGAATTTCAGTATTTTTTTTAAAAGGCATATCATTTTGTTTAGTATCGCCAGTATCGCTCTACCATCCAAAACCGAGGCATTGGTTGAATCCAAAGTGATTAGAGTTCATCCTTTACGCACAGGCTGAATTGCAGCAGCAGCACTTGGAAATACCATCTTTGTACATGGCGCGGCAGCTCAGCCCCCTGTTGATTGATGATATTGGTTGATGACCACCCTTCAAAAATGTCGGGGATTGTCAGAATGGAAATCCCCCAAGAAAACCGGGCAGTTGTTGAATAGGTTGTGAACAACACTGGTCATGTTTTTTTGAGTTGTTCCTTCTTCATTGTTTGACACGAAAAGATCGAGTAGTGGGGAAAATCTGGGGTTCAAACTGGCGAGACATCCAGTTTGCAGAAGATCCCAGCCACCTAATATCGATCGTAGACTTAACATGCTGTTCATGGCTGGAAAAGTCAGTTGAACAATCACGATATCTAATGATATCTAATTAATGTGGCAAAACCAAAATAAGATAACATAAATAACCAGCCCCATTATCATCATTAAATACGGCCGTATAACCAATCCCTAACAACTGGTAGGTTGATGGCATTGGGTGAATCTCACATTACTTAAGCTTTGATGTTAAACTGGGTTCCTTCTAGACACAAGTAGGGAATATTCCCCGTGGGCTCCAGCCGGATCAAGTTTTGACGCCGAATCT